TTATCCATAATAATTATTCATCATAATGATCATTCAACATAATATTTAATAGCAAACAGCGGCCTAGTCTCGGGTGTTAACACCCGAACTTATCGTCATGCATCACATAATGTTTTATATGCCAAAAACATCATTTATTATACAAAATCATATTTAAATTGTTCATAATTAATTAGTATTTTCAAAGAATATTTCCAAGAATATTTTCGGGACACTGGAATTGAGGAAAAATCGATTTATTCAATAAATTAATATAAAAATCGATTTTTGAATATATATTAATCTATTAAATTTGTAAAATCGATTTTTCAACATATTTTAATTGATTAATTTTGTAAAATCGATTTTTCAACATATTTTAATCGATTAAATTTGTAAAATCGATTTTAATATATATTTTAATCGATTAAATACCAAAATCGATTTTATACCTTAATATAATCGATTATTTTTTTTATTTTGATACACGTTATCTGAACAAGTTTTAATCGATTCTTAGGAAGAAAATAATCGATTTTCGATCACTGTTCATCGTCTTCTACCTTCGGTCCATTTTCGGACATATCAATTTTAGTTACCAAACTTCAATTAAACTATATAGAAATGTTCTCCAAGGTTCATAGATCATTTTAGAATCATTAAAACATATTTTTAAGATCAAATTCAAGGTTTATGATTCTTGGTTCTTCAAACATGTCAAACACAAAACTCAACCAAATGACCATTTATGAACGTAAAAACAACCTATATGAACATTCTAATCTTTAGATATATCTACGGGCTTACCTTGAAGCGTAAGGGAGGTTTTGAAGATTTTCCGGCGAACCTTCCGGCGACTCTATCTCACTGCTCCAGCGACCTCACACAAAGATGACAGCACCACTGCACTCTACTCTTAGCAAGGAACAATATAGAAGGAAGAATGAGTTGTTTTGGTGATGAAATGAGGGAGTTGGGTTGTCCTTAAATAGCCAAGTGAGGAAGGAAGAAGACATGGGTTGCAGCTTCCGTGATTGAGCGATGATTTGGAATCGGCGTAATTGAACAGGGCGCCGTTTGGTGTGTAGTCCCTGATTGGGACTAATTTTGGTCCCAGTTAGGGTACACTTTTTGTTCCAACTTTCTCCAAATTGAAACTTGATTGAACCGTTGGGATCAGACAGTCAAACTCTACATAATGATGTGATTTTCATTATTTATTGACAAACTTTAGAATTTACTTATTTTTGGGTCCTTCTCAGTAATTAATTAATTATAAATTAATTAACTCTGATAGGCCTATTTTTGGGGCGTTACATTATCTTTTCTTGATGCAAGAACAAATGCATGCGAACAAGAAGTGCAAAAGATAATTCATTTACAAAATGTTGCAAACCAATTGCCTGACGCATTCACAGATTCAAAGAAAGTGACAAAGTCACATATTCCTGCTATGAATGCTCCTGCCAGAATTGAAATTCCTTTAGAGAAAAATGAAAAAACTCTTGCAAATGAGTCTTCAATACGCAAAAAGCGTGGCAGACCACTTGGTTCAAAAGATGTAAAACCAAGAAAACTTAAAAGGCAAGAGACAATACTTGAAACAAAAGACGTTCATTCTTCAAAGAAAGAAAATGAACAAACCGAGCATGTTGATATAAAAAATAATATCAATGAACAATTTGTTTCAAATGAGGATTTAACAATCTCTGAAGATGCGAATAATTCAGATGAAGATAGAAACGTGGATAATTATGAAATCTCAATAAATTACGTTTCTACGGGATTGCAATGGAACAGAAAAGATGTTCATGTTGATGATATATTCGCATATGCCATTGCCACAAACATCATGGATGAAAATGATGACATTGAGCCAACTTCAGTTGGTGAATGTCGACGTAGACATGATTGGCCAAAATGGAACGAAGCAATTCAGGCAGAATTGAAATCACTTGAAAAACGGAGTGTTTTTGGGCCTATAGTTCCTACGCCAAAAGGCGTGAAACCAGTTGGTTTCAAATGGGTTTTTGTGCGTAAGCGCAATGAGAAAAGTGAAATTGTGAGATATAAAGCCCGACTCATTGCCCAAGGTTTTTCTCAAATTCCGGGGATAGTTATGAAGAAACTTATTCCCCAGTAGTTGA